AAATACGGAACTCCGATGGACAAGTGAGTTGTGATTGATAGTAATATACCAAAATTCATAGTCTCAAGAGATCGTCACTTCACCAAGTATTTCCTCCCCTATTGGTTCAAGGGGACAGACAATATCAAGAAAGAGATCATGACCAATGGCCCAGTACGACCAGTTTTCTTCCAGTTGAGCAGTATATATGTCCAATCCATCCCCTGTCAGACCTCGGCTACATTATCCATGTATAACGACTTCCTGTCATACGAGTCAGGCGTCTACAAGCACACGAGCGGCACCTTCATGGGCGTACACAGTGTTGAGATCATCGGATGGGGTATCGAGAAGGGCGTTGATTACTGGCTGGTCATGAACTCCTGGAATGAAGATTGGGGTGACAATGGCACCTTCAAGATAGCCCAAGGGGATTGTGGTATAAATGACATGGTCCTTGGGGCGCCTCCAGCCAAGTATTGACTGGTGTCTGATCGTTAATTTTTCACCATAGGGTAAGTGTCAATGACTCAGGGTCACAGAAATTCTGTGACGAATAGGTCGCATGTCCTGGACATGAAGTTCAGAACTGTATCTTGGTATTGACCTCAACTTTATTCATCGAATAGATTTCATGCATTCGATTTTCTCATTGTTCATTGATCGGTGCATGACGTACGATTCATGACAATGCCCCCTGCTCGTTTACTACGGATTTTCCCTAGCACAGGGTGACTCACCTGTGTACTTTTACCTCACTTATCAGAGTTCAGCCATCGCACGATTCATGCGGTTAGATGAGACCAAGCTCACCTGTGCACTGCGTCAGACCGCGTTTTCCGCGTAGGCTTAGCTCACATAGTTCGAATATCCTTAATTGTCCAGCATATGTGAGGAGAGTAAGTATAGGATTTCTTACGTAAGCATGTCGTGTTCAGAAGATAAGTGACCGACACGGTCATACTCAAGGTCCTGTCTCGAAAGAGGTTGTGTCTTAGACGCTTCCATTCCCACCATTGCTCGTGACGTTACGTCACTGACGTACGTAGGTGGCTTGTATCCCGAGGGCGCAAGAGACTCGTGTGCTTAACACATTACGTGTTACACGTATCCTAATACTAGATGATGTCAAGTATCATTAGAAATTTAGTAGGTCTCCAGAAAAGGCGGCCTTCAAAAACGTTTTTTCGTTACGTATTACATCGGATGTAATGAAGTCGATCACCAGTACGCGGTGTCCGGGATTATTCTATCGCGTTTAACGCCATTTCGCGATTAAGGGGTGCTGCACCCCGGGTGCATCTCCAATGTAGCAAGGCAAGGTTAGGGAGCTTGGGTCGAGGTTCATTATGCTATTCACATTAGCGACTGACCGATACAGGTTGACCATCACATGCCATTCAATGGCAATTTGACGAAAACCTACTCAGCGTCCATCTTCGCCTAGCGGTGGCTGCGAGCTAGGCTGATAGAAGAAAGGCACCAGCACAGGGATAAGTTCAAGCTGGAT